TTGCTCCATGGCTATGCCAGACAACTGATGCCAAATTACTCATTAATTTGCTTGGTACAAATATGAAATACTGAAGCAGATACAGAAATTTGAAAAAAAAAATTGGAACACAACAACTATCCATCCATCATGATCAATTTAGTATTCAAAATATCGACCGCACTAGTTCACAAAAAAAACATAAACACGGTCCCTGGCTTTATTTGCTTTTCTTTGATTCGTGGTTTATTGAAAGATACCATAGTATTACCTTGACCATTCACAATGATGACAATGTCTAAACAGCAAGTCTAGTTATTCAAAGTCATTTATTAGCCTAAGAAGGCCCTATACATCATCATTCTTGAAGCTGACATTTTAGACAGACAATTTTAGAAATAACAACAATATTTGTACATGATTAGAACATTACCTGTTCATTCATCAAGTTGAAAATCAGTATTTGTATAAGTATGCATAAAACAACTACATGTACGTACATGTACAGGTGTTTGCATCGACTTGGTACAAGTAAAATGCAGTACATATGGTACGTCATGTAGTCACTAGTCAGTCAAAGGAGTTCCATTACTCACATTTGCTCAGCCTACACATACATATATGTACATATGTACAATATGCAATGTCGGAACAAAATGTGTTGGAGTTATAGTACTTTAACCACATGGGATAAGTTTGAATAGAAGTATTGTTTGGTTGCTTTTTGGTTAACTTGTCATGCGGTTGAAGATAGGCAGTCAAGTGGATACAACTGTCAACAACAATCTTGCCCCATTTGCCACTGGCTTGACATGACATGCTTCCAGTGCTTTAGTGAAGCAAAAGAGTCACAGGCAACATTGAAAAGATGAAAGCTCTTCTAGTTTTGGGTGACAGATGCATGCTAGTTTATGGATGTAACACATACTTACTGGGGTAGGTACTCTCTGAAAATGTCAGTGTGTTTTTGAAAGTTTTGACGAATTGCTGTACTGCATAGAAAAGATCTTTCCATCCTGAACAAATTCTGAGAGCTACCGGTAAATGCCAAATCAGACGAGGATTTTTGTTAATAAGTGAAAGCTTTGTCACAATTATGGTACTGCTTTGTCATCCATCTTTGATGTGCAACACATACACAAGGAAAAGTCCAGGGGACAGGGGCCATGGCAGCCACGTCTCCCTGCTCCTCCCCAGAATTTAAAAAAAAAAGAATAGAAAAAAAAAAAGAGAAAGGGACAACTTTTCATGTCCCTTCCCAATATGTAGCTTCAGTTCCTAAGAATGGCCACTAAAAGTTAGATGAAAAATTCTAAATCTTTTTGGGCCCCAAACACAAGTTCACGCCCCCCTAAAAAATATTATTGGGCCTTTGATATGAAAATAAAAGGAAAATGTAAACATACATGTATATGATGTGACCTTTACTTTTCAAGTGAGAGGTCAGTGCCAGCAATGTGTACATGTATATTTACCCACACAATCTTTACATGTTCTAGTACATGTTTGTATTTACGTACATACATCTCAACCAGCCGGTAATCTTGACCTACCCGTATACAAGTCAGGGTTAACCAATCTGGGGGTCAGACAAGCAAGGACTCTGTCCCTTAATTAAACTGTAGGGACTGTTTTAGGGGCACAGCTAACCTACCGGTACACACCTGTGTTCCTGTATGCTGCATGATATGGAACCGGGGTCATTGAGGGTGTTTTTTGGGGGGGAGGGAGGTTGCTGTTGTTGTTTGTCTTTGCTGTTTTCTAAAGAGTTGCAAATCAGATAACATTTTAGCAAAACTGCTTTCTTAAACTTTGTGGACTTTGTGTGTGTGTGTCGCCTTCGTCAACATACATGTACGAATGGTACATCTTGTAAACTTGTCACAAATGTTGAACAATGACAAACTGAAAACGCAAATTGAATATGGTCAAGACACTTGACCATACTTGGTACAGTACATGTACCGGTACATGTACATGTAAATGTAGGACCTTTTCCAGTAAACATTAACTTCAAAGTCATCACAGTAGATTTCATCACTGTTTGTTGATGATATGCCATGCACACTCAAAACTATTCTGTCTCAACAAAATGCAGCAATTATTGATAACCAAGAGGGTCTTACCACTTAGTACCTACAGGTCTACAATGCGGTCTCAATGCAGAAACCATCCGACTACCCACCTCTGGTAATAGGCCACTAAAGGGTCACTGGTCACCCAAGAACCAAATTACCGGTACGATGTGTGGACTCTGCATGACATCACATGACAAATGTTGTTTAGGCCAACCAGTATCCCCACCCTACGCCAAGACTGGAACCAGTTTACTTGACGACCTCAAGGATACGGAGGTACCGTACTCCAGCAGACTGGCTCTAGTCTGAGGCTATCCACGCCCCATCTGCAGCAATCATGGCAGTAGTCAGTCATGTCGGTTTTCTTGGCCTTGCTTTTTAAAATTATAGGCCCTGTAGGCAGTGGTGTAACTAGGGCTATTATTGTGTCCAGGGGACACCCGGGGGTACACACATTTTTTTCAAGGGGGCACCAAAAGACAGAGCTGAAGCGGCCTACAGCTGCATTGATTTCAAATGGGAGGAGGGGGGTACTGGGGCACCGGTATTCGGTAGGGGGGGACAGTTATGCCAAGTCCTGCCCATAGTGCCTATTTTGTCTTTCATCTGATCTCTCATTGAGAGTGGTCTCAAAACTCTCATTTATACATGAGCAGCTGTCATGACCATGGACGATGCATGCATGCTGTTGGCATGGTTGGCGGTAAAACTAGCACTGAGCGTTAAGCCAATCTTGAACCTTGTGCAAATTCATCGTACAATTTATTGTACTCCCTCCTGCAAATCAAAGGCAAATCAACTCAGGATAGAGAATCAATTTGCACAAAGTTTAAGTTTGCGCTTAACAAAACTACTGTGTACTGGCAAAATTAGCAATATGTGCATATTTGTTCAGGGATTGTATCTTTGGAGACTTTGTTCCTATAATAGAAGGGACAACTACATTTTAAGTTTTGAATTCACCTTGGTAGATGATTATGACATCATGCTCGATAACTGTAGGGTTGATGTTTTGAAAGAGGGCAGGGTTTGGAGTTGTATGGGAAATTACACCATAGGTGTAAGGGCAAACTGTGAGTCACATAACACATGGTGGATTCAAATTTGCACAACTGGTTTATCAGTAAGGAAGTCACATTTTCTGACAAGTTACAATTTGAAATGTCCAAAAAATGGGAGCAGTGCAATAAAGGCAGCGTTGGCCATTGCCTTTGGTTTGGTTTGGGGGGGTGCTGATCAGTTCCACAAGATTAAAATCACAAAAAAATGTGGCTATCCAAATCGGTCTAAGCAATCCCCATCTATTCCAAGGTACAGTGTACATCCTAGACCCGACGATGGAGTAGCCTACATCACAGGGCCCTGTGCCCCTGTAGGGCCCTGTTGTTTGTTTCTACCTACCTTTTCAAACTAGGACGTAGCTCGTCGTCGTTTCGTACTGACCTGACGAGATCAGTCTGATCTGAGAGAAGGTTCTTGCTTCTTCTTAATGTGGGAACGCACATCTGGTACACACAAACAGCTTGACAGTCTGTCGCCCTTTGTTGATCTCTGCAGACACACTGTACTTAAGTTCTTGACCAAAAAAAACCAATAATCGACTTCCACTGATGTTTACATTTTCTAATGATAATGCACTGCCTATTCATTTTGTACACGTATCGCGTGATGGCGCTGTACTCTGAGTCGGATCTTAATCTTACAGACGCGGATTGTTTGGGCACAAAATGCGCGGCCAAACAATGGCAGCGCTTCAGGAGGGTAATGTCATGCTCAACATAACCTTTTTCTCATGGGGTGATGGCTATTCCATGCCTCGGCCTCCCTCGCCTCCCGAAAACAAGCCAAAAACAAACAGAAAATGCAAGGATATCATTTCCGGAAATAACTGGCCATTTTCTTATCAACTAACCCACTCGAAAGCGATAATGTTAACCTGTTTTTGTGTGTGTTTGTTTTTAATTCATTTTTTTTTTTACACTTATTGTCTACGGTTTTGCTTTAGAAATATTTTCACTTCCGGCGGTTCAATCGTGATTTGTTCAGTGTGTAAAACTTTGAGAATTCCGCCGGGACATGCAATTCGCTCCAAGTGGGAAAAAAGAGGGCGTGTTTTTGACTCGGGCCAAGCCGAGTACGAGTAACTCAGGCTGCATCCGAATCCGTTGTCTTGACAGCGCTTCCACTTTCAAGGAAATTTCCTTATTTTAAGGAAATTTTTGCTTTCGAATGAAATTTTCAGGAAATGAAAAAATCTCATGAAATTTTGAGGAAATCCCCCAAATCTAAAGAAATTCTAAGGAAATTATTAAATTCTGAGCGAATTCTACAAATATTTACAAAATTAGCAACAAAATCTACATTTCAAACTCAACAATAATATTCTGTCAGATTCAGGATGACTTGAAACAAGACTAGTAGAATCAATATCACCACACATGATGCACACAGCCTGATTGTTTTTTCAAGACCGTGAGTTTGAGCACTGTACTGACCTCTGCTTATCATCTGGCAAACAAGCATAGTAGTTTTGGTAGTATATTAGGCTTTTTGGTGGTTAATTAAAAATAAGGAAATTGGGAGGAAAGTAAAGAAATTTGGCTCTGGGGATAGGGAAATTTTCATTTTGACTGTTGGAAGTACGTGTCTAGGTCTAGGTCTTCGCTCTATTGGAAATGTGTGGAGATGCGTAGGCAATAGATCTAGCCGTACCTCTCAGCTCGAAGCCCGTTTCGGACACAGCTTTTAGGCCTAATTTACTCCAGTATGTATGGCCTTTGCGTACACGCAGAACGCGTGCAAGAACCCACTTGTAACCACCTGTCTTTCTTTTCGCCAAATGGGGGGGGGTGCACTGCAGCTCGAGGAGGATAGGTTTTGTCATTAAATATAATCTCCAAACTGTCCATGTGTTTTTCCGTTTGCTTTCGATGAGCCAATACTGAAAACATCATAAAAAAGATTATAATTTTACACCCTCAGGAAAAATTGTACTAAATAAAATTCATTCATATCTTGAGTAAATTTTACTGAAAACCGACATGCAGCATACGGAAGTGTGACAATCTTTTCTGTGAGCACAAAGTGAGGGCAGCTTTAAATGACCAACCAAACTAACTTACTGCCGTTTGAAAACTGACACTTAATCGGCTTAAAAAGTTGACTTCATAACCTGACTTAAGGATTTACACTAAATAACTACTTCCCAGCATAAAAAATTCAGTTTTAACTGAGAACGAATAATTTTGTTGTGTAGGCAAAATTTCTTTCATTGTGTTGACTTTGAATTCCCTTGTTTGTAAATTTATTCAACAGAAACATCAACACTCTGCTTCTCACTTTGGTTTCATCTCTGCCCAGAAGAAGAATTCTGTCACTCACACGATTTGGGTTCAGTTTGTCTGCATATCTGACGAACACAAATCATGGCTTTCTTGGAGATTTTCCCGGTGAAATCTAGGGAAAATAAACCGGACAAATTAGTCGTTCACTTCAGCTTTGAAACCACTTTTGCCAATGAGTAACATTTCAGACGGTCCCAACTTCGAGATAGTGAAGTTTCATATACAAAACCTAATAGGCTAGATAGACTGTCATAAATTTCTCACTAGGCCTATATAGGCTTAAAGTTAAGCATTATAAAGTACAACTTGAAAAACTTTCTGAAACTAAAAATGTGCGACTCACTTTTCCTTCTGTTCCTTCTTCCAAACTTGACGTTGGTCTCCGGTAATTCACTGCTGCGTACACCTCAACCATTATTCTTTCCAAATTTATCCATTCCAAGTGCAGAATTCAGTTTTTCTTCCAAATCTGACTATTGAAGCACAAAACCTCAACCGGTGAATCAAGGAATATAGGTATACTATGTACGTTAAAAGCATTTTTCCCACAACATATTTTACGGACTCTATATAATACTCTATTTCTACCATATTGTGGCGCCGGCGGGTTCGGTCGATGGGGGCGCCAGCTCGGACCCGCATGGCTGGCTGCCCCTGCTGGTATGCGAACGGTTTTCCCGCCTCGCGCCTGCGCAGTCCCCGCAGACTCCTTGGTCGAGTTCGGGCGGCCTGTTCTTGACACGGGTTTCTTGTTCTCGCGCACGAAAGGCCGGAACACGACTCAAGAACACTATTCTCGGAACAGGATCACGCGCCACGTCCTCGTCAGGGTTTTACTAGTACAGGAACACATGGAAAAACTCGTGAGATTTTGAACAGCTGCCAAAAGCCATAGACTATGTAGACAATGGGAAGTTTCGCCAAATTAACATTAACTATTTTCCGGAACACACAAATGAATGTTCCTGTTTATATAGAAAAGAATTCAGCCCATCCAAACCTTAAGTCTCGAATCACGTACACCGCCATGTTGCATGTGACAACCGGTTGTTTGTTACCGGCGTTCGAGCGGCCGACCCACGAACAACAAATCGAGCTGTTCGTGAAGATATGGGAACAAGCCGCCCGAACTCAGCCCTTGTGTCTGGAGCTTGAGTGTGTGAGACAGCTTTTTGACTTCGTGACATAAAGATAGAAAGCTTGCGGTAAACACCATGCAATATCTCTTTTTGAGTCTGTGTGGTTCTGATTAGAACCGGAGAGGCTCAACGTTTCGGACAGTGTGCTCTGTCCGTCGTCAGGAGACTCAAGAGATGCCGACAGGGAGTGGGGCTTATATGCTGGTTGGAGGTACTGGAGTGTGACGGATCCTGCTGTGTAGTCAGGTGGAACAGTGGATCCTCCTGGGTACTGATGCATGTCAGTTGGTCATGGGCTGTGGTGGGGGAAGTTTGCCTGGGTATAGGAGACCCTGGGCGGGGGGGGGTGGGGGAGTCTTAGGGTATAGAGGACCCATCAGACCGGGAGGTGAGGAGGGGCTGCCAGATACCGCTGATATTAAACAAAGCAGTTTTGCCCGGAACGGCGATTTGCGTCTTCCTCAGTGGTTCTTGTCAGCGTCAGAGCGCAATAGGCAGGACACGCCGATATTTATCATATGGCATACTTGCATGGGGCAATTGTGGAATTAGCCTAATAGATAGAATACTTAAACTTCAAAAAAAGGCACTGCGCATTATCAGTTCTACATCTTTTCAAGAACACAATAATCCTTTATTTTACCAATGTAAAGGTCTGTGATATTTATTCTTTCCAGCTAGGGATCCTCGTGCATCAAGTAAATAATACTAATGTACCCAACTACATCAGCTCAATGTTTATAAAAAAATGATGAAATCCATTACCATTTAACAAGGCAGTGTAGTGAGTTTCATCTCTCTTGTACGCACGAATCTTGCAACCAAAACAGTGAAGCATGAGGGTCCCAAGCTGTGGAACTCATTAGGTTTGTTAAAAGATTTACCCACCTTGTCGCTATTTAAACAGAAACATAAGAAGTGCTTACTGAATAATTACAAGGGAAATAACTGAGCCTTACAGGTTACAGATTACAGGTTGTATTATTTTGTCTATGAATTCATGTACACGTACTTATTATACACTTTTTCTTTGTTAATTGTTACATATATGTAGATGATTTACGTAAAGTTTTTGTCCTACATGTCCAGTTATGTCTGTATAAGGGCCCCTACTCGACAAGCTGTGCTTCTTAGTGGTCCCTCCACCTTTGTGTGGAAATAAAGTAAAGTAAAGTGTGTGTGTGTTTGAAAAACTCCATTTGAAAGTTCACTCAACGAAATTCGCAACGCTTGTTATTTACCCTCCTGAAAATATGCACACGTGGGACGCGTTTTGGACGCGATGTGCTATCCAGTCTATAATGGAGACCAATTTCAAAAAAATAAATCTTGAAACAGTTCGCAGTACCCGCTGCTTCACCCGACTCGGACCGGCGAGCCGACCCCGACAAGCTCGGTGGTCGAGTGGTTACGATGTCTGCACTAGTAAGCAGGAGGTCGTGGGTTCGAGTCCCACCCGAGTAAGCCTGTGAATTTTTTCGCAAGCTCTGGCAAGCACTCAACAGACAGTGTTTATCCAATATATACATATTGGGTAAGGGCAAAACCCGTTATATAAATTATCATCTCCCCAACGCAAAAATACATCTTGAAATACTAGAATACGGAGCGCGCATACTCCAGGTTTAAAAGAATGTTAAGTTTAAGTTTTCAATATGTTGTACATAAGTGCATGTTTTAACGTGCATACAATTAGTTATTTTTTCTTCACGTCCAGTTGACAAATTATGAACAGAACAATTGTGGCAGTATGTGGACATGCAAACTGAATCTAAAGCTATATACTAAACAAAATCTGATGATAGGTCTACAATCACAAGAGTTCACAACTTTGACTGAGCCATTCTGGGAACAGGAGCCTTCTTCTTTTTTGTCGTTTCGCTTCGCTGACGTCTACGTTTTGTCAAGGTCCCCGACAGACGTCTACACCAAGCGATCTTTTGCAGAGTGACTGGCGGTACCTGATTTGCCTGTTCCTGCGGAGTCGGCGTTTTAGAGGGCTTGGTGTTATTAAATGATGACATCGGTATTTCTTGAGATGAAGTAGACCCTTGTCTGGATGTGTTGCACTGACTGGGAATAGAGCCGGGTCGCCGGCGTTGGTTCTTCCTCAACTTCCCCACCTGCTCCAGGCCCCCGCTTGGAAAGGCATGAGCGTGGTTTAGGTTTTTAGCGGGAGTCTTTAACCTTTC